TGCAGGTAATTTTCTTTAGAGCATGATTTAGCAGCTGAGCCGACTTGTATAGAGAGAAATGGGATCCAGAGAAAATGGTAGCACGGGATCTCTGTAAATTCTTGACCCTTTGAGGCACACACTCTCTTTCTCTTGGTCTCCCTCTGTCTTTTTGTGGCATACTCTTTGACATAGTCCCTTTTCTCAGAGCAACTGAGCAGCTATTTAGCAAACATCTATTTAATTTTAATTTAAGATGAGGTCTGAGACTTGTCCCCAAAGCCTTGCAGAGAAGGCGAAACCTGTCAACCTTTCTGATACCGATTGAAAGAAAAGACTCTTTCATGTAATTTTAGTTGCAATAACTAGTTTTCCAATTCTACACACATGGATTTAATCAGTTAAGTCTAACGAGATTATTTTTTTCCCCCTTCCTTTAAATATCAGCTCAACCAGGGCAATTTTTTCCCCCAGAGAATATTGGGCAATGTCTGGAGACCTTTTTGGTTGTCACATCGAAGGGCAGAGCTACTCGCATCTAGTGGGTAGAGGCCAGGGACACATCTAAACGGCCCATAATGCACAGGCCAGCCACCACCACAAAGAAATGATCCGTCTAAAATGTCCACGCTGAGGCTTCACAGCCCTGCTCTAGAACAGAGGCCTCTAAACCCGGCTGCACATCAGAATCACTTGTGGGCTTTAAAAATTCCAAAGCTCAGATGCTCTCTAGACCAAACAGAACAAGGTCATTGGCTAGGACTGGCTAGGCAATTGTGGCCCAGTGCAAAATGGAAACACAGGGACCCTTATTTAAAAAATTATTAAGAATTTTAGGGTGGTGACAGCAAAGCATTAAACCAAGGGCAAGGCCTTCTGAGTGCGGGGCCCTGTGTGTCTCCACAGCTCCAATACACAGGAAGCTGACACTGTTCTGGGGGACGACCTGGGCATTGGTAGTTTTAAAAGCTCTCCAAGTGGGCCAAAGAGTTTAACAGACACTCCATCAAACAAAATATGCAGATGGCCATGACGGGGAAATGAAAATGAAAACAGCAAAGAAATACGACTACACACCCATGAGAATGGCCAAAATCCAGAACACTGACAACACCAAAGGCTGGCGAGGATGTGGGGTAGCAGGAACCCATTCATTGCTAGTGGGAACATGAGAATGCCTAGTTGCTTTGGAAGACAGTTTGGCAGTTTCTTAAAAAAGCTAAACACTGTTTTTGTTTTTTAAGTTTATTTATTTTGCGAGAGAGAGCATGCGTGTGCATGCACACACAAGTGTGAGCAGGGGAGGGGCAGAGAGAGAGAGAGAGAGAGAGAGACAGAGAGAGAGAGAGGGAGAGAGAAAGAGAATTCCAAGCAGGCTCCACACTGTCAGCTCAGAGCTTGATACGGGGCCCGAACCCATGAACCATGGGACCTGAGCCAAAATCAAGAGTTGGGACGCTTAACTGACTGAGCTACCCTAACTAAACACTCTTATCATGTATCCAGCAATTATGCTCCATAATATCTATCTAAAGATGTTGAAAACTTAAGTCCACATAAAAACCTGCACATGGATGTTTATAGCAGCTTTACCCATAATTGCCAAAACTTGGAAGCAATCAACATGTCTTTTGTAGGTGAATGGATAAATAAACTGTGACACATCAATGGAATATTATTTAGTCAATTAAATATTATTTATAATATTCCAATGGAATACTATCCAGCACCATAAAGAAATGAGCAATTGACCTATGAAAAGACATGGAAGAACCTCAAATTTATATATTATTAAGTGAAAGAAGCCAATCTGAAAAGACTACATACTGTGTGATTCCAACCATATGACATTCTGAAAAAAAGGTAGAACTATAGACACAGTAAAAAGATCAGTTACTGTTAGGGGCTGGGGGAGGGAGGGATGACTAGCTGGAGCACAGAGGATTTTTAGGGCAATGAAACTGCTCTGTATCATGCTATAATGGTGGACACATGTCATTATAAGTTTGTCCTAATCCATATATTATACAACATCAGTATTGTAACGTAATATAAGCTATGGACTTTGGATAATTATGATGTGTCCGTGTAGACTCATCAGTTGTAACAAGTATGCCATTCTGGTGGGGGATGTTGATAATGGGGAAGGCTATGCATGTGTGAGGGCAGGGAGTATATGGGAAGTTTCTGTACCTTCTGCCTAATTTTGTTGAGAAAAAAAATTGCTCAAAAAAATGAAGTCAGTTAAAAAACCCAAACTCCCCAGGTGATTTCAATGTGCAACCAGTGTTGAGCTCGCTGTTCTCTAGCATGTATTGCCTATATATATATCCTTCCCAAAGTAATCAGTGTATATACAGGTACTGGCTCACGTAGGACTCATCACCATATCTGGACACAGAGCTTCACAGTTAGGAGATGGTGAGTGAATGTGGCCAAATAAAGCACTATAGTGTCATTCGTTATCACCTATTGTAGATTTATACGTGTATAGGTGATTTTGCCTTTCCAACAGGCTTTGGCATTCATGATTTTGTTCGCTGTTCACCTCAGTCCTGTGGTGGCAGAGCAGGTGTTGGGACACTACTGTAAGATAAGGAAACAGGCTTAGAGAGGGGTTAAGTGACTGGTCCAAGTGACACCCGTGTGATGGCAGGGCAAAGCCTCCAACCCTGTCTCCTGGGTTTCTGGTCAGAGCTGTTTCCCACGTGTTACAGAAACTCCTTCACTCTTATGCTAGGTTTGCAAAGTGTGGCAAAGTGCCGATTGGTGGCCTGTGGCAGGAAAGTTAGTGGCATAGGGATGAGCGTTAAAACAAAACATATAGGGGCCTGGGTGGCTCAGTTGGTTAAGCGTCCAACTGGCTTAGGTCATGATCTCACAGTTCATGGGTTCAAGCCCCGCATCAGCTCCCTGCTGTCAGCGCAGAGCCTGCTTGGGATCCTCTATCCTCCTCTCTCTCTGCCTCTCCCCCCTCATGCTCGCTCGCTCGCTCTCTCAAAAATAAATAAACATTAAAAATATTTTTTAAAATATTTATTTAAATATGTATTAGAAACAAAATGATACGTCAAGTCTGTGGCTTGTATTACCACTGCAGAAAAGGTTACATTTAAAATTTTAAAGTGAGTTGATTTAAAGAAAAATATTAATCAAGTAATAGAGTGTGGAGCAGGTGTGGATATATGGCAAAGCTGTGAATTACCTACTCAAATGACTGAAATGTGAGAAACACTGTTTTAACTCTTGTAGTTGATCATAAGAATATAGTGACATAGCAGAAAAAAGCTTTGTAATAATAAACAAAGCAGTAAAATTACTATTGTGGTGTTTGTGCCCCCATTCCTTGAAACTTGTCCTCCGTGTACCCCTCCATTTTTCTCCAAACTAAGTCTTGGCATATTATCGGGCTAGGATGGGTACAAAGTGCTCGACCACGGACATTAAGTGACCATGCGTGGTTGAAAAAGAAGAAAAATATGTAAAACGAAATCTGTAAGTCCCTTATTTGTAGCTTAGTTTTCCTATTTAGTATACATATCAAATTCTAAGGGGACTTTCTAGATTATCTGGGACCAAGTGATTAGGAATTTTGTAACAATAACAAATCCCGTCTCTGTCCAGGGTATATTCAAAGTACGGCCTTTCACATTCATACGGTGGAACTCTTTGCATCCATTAAATATAATGAAGGACATACATTCACTGACTGTATGTACAGATATTTGTGTTAAATGAGAAAGGCAGATTTCAGAAGAGTACAATAGAACATATTTATATAAGAAAGAAAAAGAGAAGGGAGCATTTCTGAAAGGATTGACCCCTGAGTGATGGGACTGGGTTCATTTCTTTTACTTTTAGCTTATCTGTCACTTCTCGTTTTTCTATGATAGGCTAGATTTCAAACTCAAGGGATGATAAGCAAACTTTTAAACACGCCTGTATGCAAAATGCACTTAATTCTGCTGTGGTCAAACTCTGCTTTTCTGATGACATCAGACTCATGACTTTGTAGGTGTAACGACATATGGATTTCAGGAATAAGGCATTGTGGCTGGAACCAACAGTAGTGGGAAAGACTAGCAAAGCTCTGGATATAAAAGGATCTTATAAAGCGTGGAGTCCTGTGCACACGAAAGGGATTTTGAGCTCAACTGGGAGAGTGAAGGACAGGCAGGTACTGAGCAGCAGGGCCCTCGTTCAGTGCTGGTGATTGGGAGAGGTTGGGGACGTTTTCACCATCATATTGGATTACATCCTAGCTAATTTCATGGCCACTCCAGAGAAGTGTCGCTTTTCACAGAACCTGCCTTGCCTTCCCTGGGTTTTAGGATGAAGATCTCTGTGAAAATATCACAGGAGCATCTTTGATTTGTGGTTTGGGGTGGTTATATTTGCTTTCTCACCCTCTCTCCTGTTTATTTTTGCAGAATCACATCTTACTTAATTCTCTGGTTATGTTTTCCAACAGCACATTCTACTTTCTCGTTGTCAGAGGTTGTCGATCCTTTGAGTTGGAAATCTTCTTGAGAAGAGTTTCCTGAGGAGGGGGCCCCCTTTTTTCCCCAGTGATTTTTTTTTTTTAATCTTTAAGCAATAGGTAGAAAATATGCATTCATTTGCATAAATGAAGGATTGGGAAGATACCCATCCGTGGCTGACAGTATTGATTTCTGAGAAGGAAGCCGGAAGCTGGGTGGGGATAAAGGGGACCCTCCCTTTATCTCGTTATATTTCAAGTGTTGTTTTTCAAAAAATTATTTGCATATTACTTGTATGACCTGTCCTCTATATGCATAAAAAAGTATAAAATAAAATATGACACAAGTACAGTAGACTTAGATATTTACATTTAGACTCTGAAAGTCTCTCGGTGTACATATGTGTGGGGGGTGGGAGATGTGCAGGAATATAGTAAAGGAAAAAGTTAGCTCAGATTTTCATTGCCTTAATAATGACCCTAAAAAACAGTCAAAATATTGACACTCTGGCTGTGTGGTTGAGAATCAAAACACACTCACCTGTGAAAGCCTGTCATCCTCTGAGGTGTCCTTACCCCACCACAAATATCCAACGTCACTGCGGGTCAGGACCCCGTGCAATATTTCTTGAGACTTTCCTTTCTGACAGCCATTGAAGACATTCGGACTTGCTCTTCCAGTTAAAATCATGTTCAAAACTGCCTAGTTGGCACATTTTACAAATATTTATATTTTAGGTAGCAATGACAAAAGGCCTTAATTTCTTTCTTTTTTTTTTTTTTTAATAATCACTGCAAGGTCATCAGTTTTACTTAAAAGAATGGAAATCACCTAATACATAATTCAGGAAAAACATGTCGTAAACATTTGGTAGGATTAAAACAGAAGTTTGTTGACTTTGTTTCTGGAGCCATACACAATAACTCCCCACGGGCCCCACTTAGATCTGACTGCCCTTCCTCCCTTTACATTTCTTATAAACTCTGGTTTCCATACTTGTGATTTAAGAAGCAATAAGCAAAGATGTTTTTATAGTACTTTTCTTTCCATGATTAGGGATTCCTGGTAGGTCCTGTCAAGATATTTCCTAACAGGTCTGTAAAACGTCAGGAATGTGGGGCTCTCAGAGGTAAAATAGAAATTGGAACATAGACTCTGAGAGCAAACTCACATTAGCATCTTCTTAGTCTTTCAAAGATAATCCAATCACTCTTCACTTGGGGAGCGAATATGCTTAATTGAAGAAAAAAAAAAGCCTAATTCAGATTCTATAATAGAAAGACAAAGCCTCTCAACCTACCTGCCTGCACAGGAAGCCCCCAGCGTGTGGTTGTAACAGATGAGTGCTGGAAGCATCTAGGTCCTTCTGAAGCCTGTAGGATGCAAGATGCCATCAGCCTTCAGTCAGAGACAGTGACCGCACCAGGAACCCACGGCCTCTCCTTCTTCCACCTCCCAACATTAGGTTTGCTTAGTCACTGTCCCTCCCATGTGCCTTGCACCTTTGCGTCTCTCACTGGAAAAGCTTCTAATACCCAGGCTGCAGAGGTGATGGGAAAAGCTATGGGTGAAGTTGGGGGATGCTGACAGGTGGTGAGGCAGAAGGGTGAAGTGACAGATCTCACACGTTAGGATCCCTGTGTGGGTGCTGGGCTCATTGGAGAAACTGTTTGCTCTGAGTGACAAGGGACCCTTGGCTTAGGGTAGTGGCACAGAGAGTCCTGGCTCAAGACAGAGTTGAACAGACTGTTCAAGTGGAAAATACTAGTTTGGGGGGTAAGGCCATTTGTTGACTGCAGAAGGGCTGCCTCTACTATTTCACCAGGGACCGGGGCTTGGGGTCCCACCCCAGGTGATAGAAAGTCCAGGCAGGATGTGGCTCCTGCTCTCGCTTAGGGAGAGGTGCTGAGTTCTGGTATATGAGTTGTAAAGTGTTCTTGAAGGAACCTGTTCACAGGACTGAAGTCATGCCTTTCCTTTATTTAAAAAAATTTTTTTTTTTAAATTTTAAGTTTGTTTGTTTATTTTGAGAGAAAAAGAGAAAGAGAGCCTGCAGGAGGGGCAGAGAGAGAGGGAGAAAGAGAGAATCCCAAGCAGAATTCACGCTGTCAGCGCAGGGCCTGAGGCAGGGCTCAGGCTCATGAACCGTCGTCAGATTATGACCTGAGCTGAAATCAGGAGTCAGACACGAGCCACCCAGGCGCCTCTGGAGTCACGCCCTTCCTGAGTAAGAACTAAAAGCTTGGGTCCAGCATGGTGAGTGCCTTGGTGGCATCAGATGTAATTCAGGGCAGTGTTGCCTTAAGTGTGGCGTGATTTTAGGTGGTGTAGATATGAGCATTTAAAAAACCATATGGTGGGGGCATCTGGGTGGCTCGGTCGGTTAAGCATTGACTTGGGCCTAGGTATGGTCTCGCAACTCGTGAGTTCGAGCCCCGCGTGGGGATTGCTGCTGACAGCTCAGAGCCTGGAGCCTGCTTCCAGATTCTGTGTCTCCCTCTCTCTCTGCCCCTCCCCTGCTCATGCTTTGTCTCTCTCAGTCTCTCAAAAATAAATAAATGTTATAAAAAATTAAAAAAAAAAACGGTGTGGTGGATGTGCTTAATACATTCTTCTTTAGCACAACAAATACACGATTTAAAAGATATTAATGTTTAGGAATAAGTTAATATTTAAATTTGTGTTGATTTAAAGAAAACTGTTAAGCAGCTAATAATACAGACCACAAAAATGTGATGATGCTATGCAAAAGACAAGTGTTAAGAGATTTTTGCTTCAGGGCTTGTAACTCTTCCTTTCTAGAGACTCTGTATCTCTCTGTGATTCTCTGAAAAGTTATTTTCCTTTCAGAGCCCAAAAGAAAGTCTACTTCTTCTAAGAAGCCTTCCTTGATTAGTCTATCCACTGGTGACCCTTCCTCCTCTGGAATCTTCCAGACTCCTCGTCTTTACACCTCATTTGGTACATTAAGTACCCCCTGTGACATACCCAGTATCTCTACGTATAACTCCTATCTTTCCCAGATTGGACCCTGAAGGAGGTCAGGCCATCTCTTCTTTTATTTGTATTTCCCATTGTGCCAAGAAAGGGGCTTTGCATATCATAGACACAAAATAAATACCTGTGGGTATATTTTATTGTGCATATAAATAATAAAATACTTTTATTATGAAAGTTATACAAATAAATTTTGGTATTATCCGTCAATATTTATAACCACAAGTAGAAGGAAGCCACCACTGTGTGAGAAAAGCAGATTCAAACCTTTCTGACGACATCCACCCACCCATTAATATGGCCAAACCGACTACAGAAAAGGATGAATCAACAGAAGAGCAGCCACTGGGAAAAACTACTCAGGTTTCCAACAGGGCATGAAAATATTTTGCGATGTAAGAGTACGCTGCGTATGTGATCACAGAGCTATAGGAAATACCTGTGCAAATGTTTGTTGAATTTACCTTTCAAATGTTCTGGAGAAGATCAGGCTGTAAAGAAACAAGATGACACCATGGCCTCCTTCCTCTTTGAACTGTTTGGGGGGGACAAAACAAAAGCATGTTTGCCTAAAAGCAATGCAGCTATGTATATCTCCAGGCATGAATTCAAGGATTTATAGCCCAAGATTTTTTTCTTTTTTTTTTTTTTCCGGTTGATAGGACAGCTTCCCTAGGCCATCTTCACTCTCGAATGCATTTGTCTTCCTTGTTCAAGATCTGCCCTTGGTGCTGTCATTCTCTTGCTTTTCGACCTATTTTTCTTTCCTCCACTTCTATCACATGATTGTCTTCAAATCATGGCTAAGGTGTAGTGTATCTTTCCTCTCCATTTTTCCAGCATCCATCCCAGCCCAGACCCTTGGTGTGCTCTTGGCTGGCCCCCTTCCCAGCCTCTCCTTGGTTGGGACATCTCTCCCTCCTCATTGATTTCTAGAAATACCTTTGGACTTACACAGATCTAGGTTCAAAACCAGTTCTACCATTACTCCTAGTTTACTAACTTGTTTGAGTTTCAATCACCTAATCTGCAATTGCGGATAAATTACAGCTTTGTTGCAAAAGTTAAATGACAATAATGCACAGTACCTACCTTAGTTCTTGGAACATGCTAGAACCACAACAAAATTATTATCTGTCCTTCTTTAAGGCACTTCTCCCCTCTCTCTTTTCGTGGGAAGGCTATTTTTCTGCTCAAAAGTTTCCAAAGGTGCCCTGTGATTTCCAGGATCAAATCCAAATTGCCCAACTAACATTCAGGTAGCAGGTCTTAGCTTTGTGTGAATATTCTGCCTGCTGAAAAGAAGCTCCTTGGCTGGCTTTCAAGGTTCCCAGGGTTAAAGCATCTCCTTTAAAGGCCTTGTATTGGGAAGGCTTCTGCTAAAATGCAGGTGCTTTCCCTTTTATGGATTAACCTGTCCCCATCACTCTCTGTGACCTGGCAGGGGCAGGACCCTCAGGCAGGAACAAATTCCAGTGCCACAGGCATCAGACAGGAACCCAAATGGGTGTGCTACAGAGTGTCAGAGAAATGAGGAGAGTGGGTCCAGAGGCACATTGGGGACCCTGGTGTATTCGTTTCCTGTTGCTGCCATAACAAATTACCACAAACTTGGTGGCATAAGACAACATGAATTCTTTGTCTTCCACTTTTGGAGGTTTGAGGTCCCAACACGGATGCCACTTCATGAGTCTGATTCAAACTGCTGGCAGGCTTATGTTTCTTCTGCAGGCTTTGTGGGGAAGACTTTTCACTTCCTCTTCCAGCTTTTAGAAGCCATCCTTATCCTTGGCTCATGACCCCAAATTGTGACCCTACATGTGATCCTTCTTCTCTCTCTGCTTCCCTCGTCACACCACTTTCTCTCTCCCATCATCCCACTTTTCCTGACAAGACTCTTATTATTAATTGCCCGCCCCCCCCCCCCCCGCAGGAAAATTCAAGATAATCTCCCTATTTCAAGGTCTTTGACTTAATCACATCTTCAAAGTCCTTTTACCAGGTAGGAAGCATCATTCAGCCTATCACAACTTGTCCAATAGAAATCACTGCCCCCACGTCAGCTAACTGAGAACATGCCAGCATATAGGCCCAGTGCGGCCAGGTTTTCTGATTCTTTTGGGAAAAAGCTAAAAATCCAGGTTTTTATGTGGAATCTTCGGGTTGTTTTTGAAGAGTGGCTGGGTCAAATGTTTAAAAATACAACACTGGGTGGACTAATGCTGCAGATCACATATGATAGGTGTATCAGGGCTGCTGTAACAAGTTACCAGAAACTTGAATTGCTTGAAACAATAGAAATGTATTCTGTCACGGTTCTGGAGGCCAGATGTCTGAAATCAAGGTGTGGGAGCATGGCCGTGCTTTCCCTGAAGGCGGAAGGGAAGGAGTCTTTCTTGCATCTTCTAGCTTCTAGTGGCTGCTGGCAATCCTTGGAGTGCTTTGACTTATAGGACACATCCCATCATGGAAGCTCTGCCTCCATGATCACATGGTGTTTTCCCCACATGACTGTGTCTGCGTCCAAGTGTCCTTCTTCTTGTAAAGGTACCAGTCACTGGATTGGGCCGGCCCTAATCCAGCGTGACTTTTCCTTGACTTGATTACCTTTGCAAAGACCTCTTTTCCAAATAACATTATATGCACAGGCATGGGGACATATCTTTTGGGGGGATGAAATTCAACCCATAAACTTAGGTCTACTGTCCACGTGTAGCCCTCAGACCTCTGTCTTGAGATTTCTGTCTTAAGATGGGACACAGGAATGGGACCTCAAAATGGGTGCATTTTGAGAGTGAGTGGGGTTTGGTAAAGGTTCGGTGAAGCACATCATAATGTGCGGGCCCCGGTCAGGGGTGCCCTTGAGAGGAGTATCAAGTGCCCTTGATGGAACCTGCCATCAAGTGCCTCCGTCACTGAGGAAACGGTGCCAGCGCTTCCTCAGAGTGGCTATGGCAATAGTCACCATGGGTCTGTTTGACCCGGGCAGCTCTCGCGTCAGGCTCACCCACACCGTACAGTCGATCTCTGCATAAGGCCTTTGTTACTTATTCCAGCTTGACTCTTAGCCTTTGATAGAACAAGCCTGTGTAGAGTTTCAGCTCTGATCCTCTGATTCTCAACTCCGGCGACACTAAGGAATCCCTTGCACATGTGGGGACCTTCCTTTTGAATCAGACTGCCCCAGGTCTGAGTTGAGGAGATGGAAGACAGAAAGGAAAGGGTTTGCCTCTTTGTGCTGGAAGGCTCATTACTTACATGGTCCTCTCTATCTGTGTGACTCCGTTCAATATCTGCCCACAACAGAGTCCCTAAGCAGGCTTCTAACTTAATATTTCATGCTAGGTCTTTAAAATCCATTATACAGGTTTATTGTAAATTTATATTATATATAATTTATATTAATTATACATTTATATTAAATATATAAATATATATTATAAAATAACCATAAATTTAGTACCGTAAATAATAGAAATTTTGAAACGAATGTAACACGGCATGTTAACTATACTGGAATTAAAACTTCATAAAAGTTTTAAAAAAAGCACAAAAAAGAATGCAAATTTATTATCTTACAGTTCTGGAGATCACAAGTCCAAAATGGCTCCTACTGAGCCCAAATGGAGCAGTCAGCAGGCCTACTAGAGGCTCTGTTTCCTTGCCTGTTATAGCTTCTAGTGGCCATGTCCCCCCTGTTTCCATCTTCAAAGCCAGCAGCAGCAGGCAACACTGTCCTCACATTGTACACTCTGACTTCCTCTTCTGTCTTCCTCTTAAGGACCCTTGTGACTACATTGGGCCCATCTGAGTAACCTGGAATACTCGCCCTATTTTAAAGTATTTTGTAATGCACCCAGAGTTGTTGAATCACTCTGTTGTGCACCTGAAATTAATATAACATTGTAGGCCACCTATACTTAAATCTCACAAATTTTGAAAATTAAAAAAAAAAAAAGTCAACTGAGTTAGCAACCTTAATTCCCCTTTGCTATAAAGCATAAAATTCACAGGTTCCACAAGGTAGGGTATGGACATCCTTGTGGGGCAGTTGGGGGTGGGGGCCTTTCCTCTGCCTACCACACAGACATATGAGATGGTGGGGGAGGTAGTCCTGGGGTGACTAGTTTAACCAAGAATGTATGGCCAATGTGTGGCTGAGAACTCATGCCCAAGTTTTCTACCTCTATAGCCTTTGGAAGGAATGGAGCAGTGAGGTTCATGGACCCCATTTCCTCCTTCTATATAATCCACCGTTGTATGGCTTCATGGTTACCCTGCTAACTGTCTTCTTCTTTTACCCTGTAGGGTTCTAATTCTTTAGAAATCAGCTTTCATTCCTTTCTCTGCAAAGGCATCTTAAAAAAGCACCTTAGATATTCCACCGACACTGTCCCCACATGGGAGGTTGGGAAGAATTATTGCCAGGACGACATTGTGTGGAAGGTGCTGATAGAAGAGGTAAAACAGGGCCACCTTTTTCAGACTAGAAGTCATTTCCTTGGAGCCAATGTGAGTGGTCATTTTGGCAATTTAGACTAGGGCCTCAGTTGTCTAGCATTTTTGTGTTTTATCCATTAGATGAGGCAAGACTGCTTTGACGTATTCTCTTCCCACAAAAGAAATCTTGGCATATGCCCTCTATAGTATTATTCTCTGGGTTTGATTAGCCAAGGACAAAGAGGCAATTGTGAATGGCCTGTGTGTGATCTGGCCTCTTTTTAGGCTGTGGGGAGGGAGAGGCGGGCTTTTCTTTCTCTCATTCGGCCCTTTCTTAGCTCTCAAAATGACCTGGTTTTCTTAATAAGCATCATTAGAAGTACACTTTGTAAAAGAAAGAAGATTTCCTGTAAGATCGGTTCAACATAAAGGGATTATCTCAACACTTAAACACTTACACATTGTAAATGATCATAGATGAATTTCTCAGTGGCTTCTTTCTCTAAAAGTTCAAACAGCTGGAGCTATAAATCAAGAATAGAAGATAAAAATGAAAAGGAAGATGAAAGCTACATCTATAAGATGTCAACTTACTGTTATTTCCTCAAGGGAGCTTTTTGTTTCATTGCAAAATCACTTTGCTGAAACCTGACAGATTATCTTACACAAGGCCATGTGAAACATACATGGTGAAAGTGGATGGCTACCGGCCTCCCTTTTACAGTCCTCAGTTTTAAACCAATGTGATATCTTGAGCAGTAAAGCCATAAACATATTTTTTCTTAATAGGTAAAATTCAGCAATGTTGAAGACAGTGGATATGGAAATGCATTTTGTGATGATTTCAGGTCTGGGATATTCTTGATCCTGGTGCGTTCTGGAAGGAAAAATTCACAGCAGGCACTTCCAACCCTGGGTTCTTACCTCTTTGGAAGATGCCTTTGGCCACATCTGACCCTTCTAGGAGCATCCATGGGGCTCCGCCTTCATTTCCATGTTGAGTCTAGAATACTCTCAGGTTTCATTGGCCCTTTATCTGGCAGGACGGGCAGGGGTGCACTCACCCGCTCGGTGAAATCATCGCCCGAGTAGTCAGGATTGGAGGTGACATAAGTGTGCTCAGTGACAAGACAGACGGTGGCCTTCTCAGCTGCTCCTGCCGCCCACAGGATGCCAGCCAGTGCCGCAGCCAGGGCCTGCTCTTGCTCCTGTTTGCTGACTGCACACAAACTGTAATATGGGAGGTTGGGTATGAAAACACTGTCATGGACAGTCACCGAGCTGAATGTGAGGTGCCTCCACTTTTAAGTCCCCTGCTGCATACCAGATGGGTCTCTTTGCTTCCTTCCTCAACCCACCCCGTGAGACGGTCGCAGGGGGCCTTGTCTACACTCTGTCACTGGCAGTGGCATCCTCACAGCAGCGTACTATTTCTCTTGGTGATCTTAGCCAGTCCCACCCTGTGAGTTACCCCCTCCCCCCCGGAGTCCCCACCGCTGTCTTCTCGCCGAACTCCAGCAGAGACTGATCCAAACGTTTTAACCCAGGAACACAGACCCTTTGCAAGTGCAGCCCCGTCCAGTGTTATCTCCCAGGTTTCCATTCTGCAAACCTGCTGCCCCTCATGGACCAGTCCCCTGAACGTATTTTCTGTATCACTCCTCCATGCCTTTTCTCATGCCCTTGTCTGCCTTTAAAATTTTTTTTTTTCAACGTTTTTTATTTATTTTTGGGACAGAGAGAGACAGAGCATGAACGGGGGAGGAGCAGAGAGAGAGGGAGACACAGAATCAGAAACAGGCTCCAGGCTCTGAGCCATCAGCCCAGAGCCTGATGCGGGGCTCGAACTCACGGACCGCGAGATCGTGACCTGGCTGAAGTCGGACACTTAACCGACTGCGCCACCCAGGCGCCCCTGTCTGCCTTTAATGTGCTCGCCGTGTCTGTGCTCCCCCATCATGTCTGTCCCACGCGGCACTGGAGGCCGGCTTCATGTTGCCCATCCTGACTTGTATAGCAGGCACACTCACTGTCCCCAGCATTGCTCTAAGCACTTCATACCCATCCCCTCATCTAATCCTCACAACAACCCTGTGAAGTAGATACTACTATTACTGCTGATTCAGAGGTGAAGAAAGAAAGAGGGGTTGAGGAATTGGTCCCCAGTTGTTCACCTTGAAAGTGGTAGAGTGGTGATTTTACACCAGGCAGGCTGGTTCCTGACTCCCTGCTCTCAAGCATTATACTCTCTGGAGCGATCCTGGGCTGTCAGGATTTCCCAGGGAATGGGAGCCAATCTTTATGCGGTAGACCTTTGCTCTGCTTGTTTTCTAAATATTTAACACTGACAACTGTTGTCCCGATGGAGAAACACGTGATGGGGTTTATTAACGGACTCAGCGATGATTTCTACAATCCCGCTACCTCCGTGGCAACACAGAAATGAGAAACAAGGAGTGCTCCATAGTCTAAAAGCCTAATTTGAGGAGGTGGATGGGAATAAAACAAAATGTTCTGAGAGTGAAGAAGAAGGAGACAGAACTTGGGACCGAGAAGGTTCTGGAAGGTTTCATGGAGCAGGTCAAAGCCAGTGCCCGGCTGAGGTGGGAAGTACAAAGGCCCCCACTTTGTTCTTTGAAAATGGGGCCACTGAGGCTTTAGAGCTCTCATGGGATCAGACTGAGGCTGGGCGTCACTGGAGACCACATTCTTCCTCAGCTTTTCCTTCCCTCTCCTTTTCCTTCACTCTTCCAGGTTTCTCCTGAGGCCCGAAGGGGAGCAAATCTTGCCAGCCCAAGATGCCACTTTGGCATGTGGACTATTTTAAACTGGTTGTTTTTAAAAAATTACAGACTCAAGAGAAGGTCCGAAAACTCAATAGAAGTTGCCCTTTTGTAAAAGACGTTATAGGAGAAATCTCCGTTTGTAAGGGGATGTCCTCATGGGAAGAGGGGGATGGCTCTAAATCTCTAGAAACTCCTATCAGTGGAGAAGGCACAGACTTAATGTGCAAAACAACCCTATGCTTGTTCACTGCGCTTTCCTCTGTAATCTCCCATAACTGACTTCCCACCCCCAATATCTTCTTTTGTCTTTAGCTAAAGTTGGTATTTAACGTGATGCCTTTGGCTATTTGGGGGAATTAAAGAGATTTCCTAGGTCTCTCCCATGTATACAAAAGGTATACATGTTATTTTTTTTTTTAATTTTTTAATGTTTATTTTTGAGAGAGAGAGAGAGAGAGAGAGAGAGAGAGAGAGAGAGAGAGAGACAGAGCGTGAGTGGGGCAGGAGCAGAGTGAGAGGGAGACACAGAACCCAAAGGAGGGTCCAGGCTTTGAGCTGTCAGCACAGAGCCCAACGCGGGGCTCTAAGCCACGAACTGTGAGATCATGACCTGAGATGAAGTCGGACACTTAACCAACTGAGCCACCTGGGCGCCCCGAGGTATACATGTTATTAAGCTCGTGTTTGTTTTCCTCCTATTAATCTGTCTTCTGTAAAGTTAATTATTAGACTAGCCAAAGAAGCTAGAGGGGTAAAAAAAAAATTTATTTTTTTTTTTTTCTCTCCAACAGGGCCTTCCCTTCATAAATCACTTGCATAAAGAATTCTCATCTCTGGCTCTGCTTTTCAGGAAACTGGCAATTCATGACCTTACAATAAATTATACATTTAGTTCCTGTTTTGAGTGATAACTTACCCTGCTGAGGGCAGATATATACCTTAACTTATTTATATTTTTTCTAATATCAAGCATAGAGCTTTGCCCATGATAGGGACTTGACTTCTAAGTAAAGTAATCTGAACCGATTTTCTTGAATAGGCAACTACCAAACACAGTACTTTGTTAGCCTAGTTAAATAAGAGAATTATCAGGGCTTTATCGGGGCTTTTAAAAATCACCCCTTTTGTTCCTCCTTGAAATTGTCAGTTTGGGGCTTCCCATCAAATATTTTCAAGTAAGCCCACCTGAGACCAGGGGCATCATTTTAGCTGACAGGAAGGTCTGCAGTGGAGCACTAAAACTGTCAACGTTATTCCTGCAACCAAACATTGAGAGTGATTCCAGGAAAGTCCTCCCCAATCACAAAATCCTATCCATCTGGGAGAACCAGAGCCGTTTTCGTCTCGTGAGGCAAGTCTACTTCCTGAGGTCACCCAGGGGATTTTCCATAATGACCGTTTGGCACATAACAGTTCTTGTGACATGAGGAATGTGTCTAAGAAGTGCTTCTAGGCCTCTTACCTGTGAAAGTTACAGTCCTTTCCCTTCCTGGTAAACAACAAGTCTTTGATGATGAATCCTTGAACTGCCATCTGAATGCTTCGGGCACCTCCCTGAAACGGGGAAGATAAATAGTGAGGTGTGTGAGGCTGGGGGCAGGCTGTACAACCGTAATGGAACCTCTTGGGGCCAATATGACAAAGAAGAACTCTGGGAAATGGATGTGACCTATTCTCTGCTGACCTGTCCCTCCTGGTATATACAGCATCCCCTTAGCTTAGTGAAGGGACACTGTACTCCATACGTGGGTTGTGGTCAGATGCCATGGCTGGGCCGGAATCTTCATTGACCAGCTTCAGTAGACCAGCACCTGGGGACATCTGTCCTCTTCCACCCTAGCGAAGGTAGTTTGCTTCATAGCAAACTTTTGGATTTGTAGGATGTACAGAACTTGTTGGCTGGTCTTTGAAATCTCTGTGTGACTAGTAATTGATGACCTGAATTACTGAGATTTTAAACAAGCCAGAAAGAAGCTCCTGGATCTCCTCCTGCCTTCTAAATCCTCAGGGATACTTAGAACTTGGAGAGAAGAGCCAGGAAACCTCGAATTTGGGAGGGCAGGGTGTGCGACAGCAGGGAAGGAGTGTGAGACTTTGCTATAACCCTGACAGTAAATTGTAATTTTAAATAGTCTCATATCATTTAAGGCTAAATGTTAAATTATATTAAATATGCTTTGACAAATGACTGTAATGAAAACATACATTCATATGGATAAAGATGGAAGGAAACATGACTAGGGAATATGGGATTAGGATTTTAAAAAAAAATTTTTTATTTACTATTACCTTTCCCACTTCCAAAGTGAAAGCCAGGTCAGAAAAAGGATCATGGAACCTGAAATAGGCCTTTTTCCAGTCATAGCTGAAGACATGGATAGTATTTCCAAAGAGGCTCTGCCGTAAATTCTGAGAAGAGGGGAAAGAAATGATTCAAAGAAAGATGATTCTTCTTAGACACATTCTTCATCTAACAGCCTTAAGTATGGTGGTGGGATTGTGGAGGTGGGCCTGTCCCCTCCCTACATCCTGGTTTACATTTTACCCTATTCCTCTATTTGTAATTGTAAAGTCTTGTGTGAAAGGTTCACACCAGGTTCCCTTAGACTATTGTATCCCGAAGGCTCAGTGTGTTAACCTTGTGCCCTGTTGTCTCCACCTGATTTTTTCCCTTGTGTCTGTCTCCCCTTCCATCGCCAGCCATCTCTCCTTTATGCTTTGCAGTCCGGCCTGGGCCACTGCTCTGCCCCTCTGCCTCCTGTCACTGACGATCCATGTCATGGGCATCCGGGATACCCATCTGCAGCCATGACTCTGCAGTGCTCGCCTCCCCCAGCTTTGAGTCCTTCTCTCTTGCTCGAAGAAAGAGAAACACACAGGACTCTGTTTCTAGCTTGAGTACAATATTGATTTAAATGATACTAAACAGGGGCACCTGGGTGGCTCAGTCAGTTAACTGTCCGACTTCGGCCCACGTCATGATCTCACAGTTCATGGGTTCAAGCCCTGCATCGGGCTCTGTGCTGATGGCTCAGAGCCTGCAGCCTGCTTCGGATTGTGTGTCTCCCTCTCTCTCTGCCCCTCCCCTGCTCACGCTCTGTCTCTCTCTCTCCTTAAAAAATAAACGTTAGGGGCGCCTGGGTGGCGCAGTCGGTTGGGCGTCCGACTTCGGCCAGGTCACGATCTCGCGGTCCGTGGGTTCGAGCCCCGCATCGGGCTCTGGGCTGATGGCTCAGAGCCTGGAGCCTGTTTCTGATTCTGTGTCTCCCTCTCTCTCTGCCCCTCCCCCGTTCATGCTCTGTCTCTCTCTGTCCCAAAAATAAATAAAAACGTTGAAAAAAAAAATTTAAAAAAAAAAATAAATAAACGTTAAAGGGGCGCCTGGGTGGCTCAGTCGGTTAAGCGTCCGACTTCGGCTCAGGTCACGATCTCACGGTCTGTGAGTTCGAGCCCCGCGTCGGGCTCTGGGCTGATGGCCCAGAGCCTGGAGCCTGCTTCCGATTCTGTGTCTCCCTCTCTCTCTGCTCCTCCCCCGTTCGTACTCTGTCTCTCTCTGTCTCAAAAATAAATAAACGTTAAAAAAAAAAAAAATTTAAAAAATAAATAAATAAATAAACGTTAAAAAGATTTTTTTTAAATGATACTAAACAATCATTCTCTGTCCTCTTGCCCCCCCATTTTTAAGGTTTTGCTGGGTATCCTATAGCACGTTGAGATTGGAGAGGGTCTTTTAAGGCTTCCCAGAAAAAAACAAGCCTTTATAAATCAAATACGTGAAGAAAGGGGAATCCATCCACAATCAGGGGCATAGTAATTGCTTAGCATGTGCTTGGTCCTACCTATGTGGGGTATAGATATGTAAAAAGTCTAATACCCCACAACTGTGTACGAGATAGAATGTGTGAAGTTCCAAAGGAAAAAGTACCTTGAGAGAACAGAGGGAGGAGAATTTCTGACTGAAGAGCTCAGGAATGCTTCATGGAAGAGATACACTTGAACTAGGCTGGCCAATGGCATCTAGCATTTATTGAGTGTTTTCTATGTACCACACACTGGTCTAAGTGCTTTACATTCATTATGTTAATTTAATTATTTGAGGTCGGTACTCTTATTATCCTCCTTCCACAGGGAAGTACCCAGTGGTAGAAACTGCTGGGATTTGCATCCAAATTCCAACACTACTTCTCTGCCTCCCCAGCTTTAAGTATGCGGCATCCTTGGGGTGTCTGGGTGGCTCAGTTGGTTAAGTGTCTGAATTCTGCTCAGGTCATGATCTCACAGGCTCAAATCATGATTTCACAGTTTGTGAGTTCAAGCCCCACGTCAGGCTCTCAGATCCTCTTTCTCCCCTCTCCCCCTCCCCTGCTCCCTCTCTCTCTCTCTCTCTCTCTCTCTCTCTCAAAAATACATAAACATTTAAAAACAAGTGTGTGTCATCCTGTAATTGCTGTCCTTTTTGTGGGCCAATCATTATTTAATTAATATTTTTCATTAGCTTGAGCTACTTACTCTTTTATAAATTAAAAAAATGCTTATGGGGCGCCTGGGTGGCGCAGTCGGTTAAGCGTCCGACTTCAGCCAGGTCACGATCTCGCGGTCCGTGAGTTCGAGCCCCGCGTCGGGCTCTGGGCTGATGGCTCGGAGCCTGTTTCCAATTCTGTGTCTCCCTCTCTCTCTGCCCCTCCCCCGTTCATGCTCTGTCTCTCTCTGTCCCAAAAATAAATAAACGTTGAAAAAAAAATTTTTTTAAAAATGCTTATTTAATAGGGACACTTCTTGTCACATCTTTAAGTGGGAATCAAAATCACTTACTTAAAAAAAATAAATCACCATATTTAAAAAAAATAATGGAAATAAAACAATGTTATTGACTTATGCTAGAAACTATCGCCTATGAAAGCTTTGCCTGAGCTCACATTCTATTTAATTAAGAAAGGAAGTAGGAAGTGTTAAAGAGGTGTGAACGTGTGCACCACTTACAGAGTCTTTCTTCAGGGCCTACCAGCATGAAGAAGGGCTCAGTGAAGAAGGTGACTCAGTCTATTTAATGGCACTTAATAACGTATCCCTAAAAGCAGCCATGCTCTAGCAGAGGCACACATCCCACACTCTGGGACAGACCACATAATGACCTATTTCCTATAATGGAGGGGAGGCTGGACAGAGAAGACCTGCAAACACACAGACACACACACACACACACACACACACACACACACACACACAC